TCGATTGGTTACTCCCCTGACCAGGGCCGGAGCCTGCAACCGAGATACATGCCCCTGACCAGAACCAAACTCGGGACCTTTCAGTTCAAGATTCGATGTTCTGTCCGTTGAGCTAAACCAGACAGGGCTCTATATCATTTTTAACTATATTTGTATTTGCAACTGGAACTGACTTTCTTATATTAAAATACTACATTCAAAAAGCAGGAGGATAACCTTTATATCTTGTGTTTTTTTTAATATTTTTTAACAAGTCCGTATTTACCTTATTGTTTAGTCTTTTTTAAATTTATTTCAAAGAGGAATGGAGAGAGAGAGAGAGAGAGAGAGAGAGAGAGAGAGAGAGAGAGAGAGAGATCAACGATGAAAATCGTTGATCAGCTGCCTCCTGCACACCCCCTACTGCGGATCAAGCCCGAAACCTGGGCATGTGCCCTGACTGAGAATGGAACCAGGGACACTTCAGCCCACAGGCCAATGTTTATCCACTGAACCAAACCAGCTAGGGAGTTAGTAGTCTTGGATTCAAAGTTTTGATTCAGATTTCCCCTATCAGCTTTAATTTCAGAGAATTAAAGAGCTCTAACTTTCAGCAGTTGATTATCTAATTTCTAGTTTATTCAGTTCAATTCATATTATGGATGTTTTTTTAGTTCCTACTGCAAAGTACAAAATTGAACATAAAAAATATACAATGGTGTTTCTGTTTCAAAGAGCTTAGAGTTTTCTGGATAATAATGAAAACTATGTATCGAGGCCGCTGTAGCCTTGAGATTAAGAACACTGACTCTTGGGCCAGGCTACTTGGGTACAAATTCTGATTCTGCCTTTTTTTTTTTTTTTTTTATGACCTTGGGCAAAAAAATGCTTAAATTCTCTGTACTTTGGGTTCTTTATCTGTTAAACAGCTAACAACATTATCTAGGATTGTTAAAAGGATAAAGAAGTTCCAAATTAAGCACTTAGAATAGCAGCTGGGTGGTATATAGTAAGTACTCAATAAAATGGCAACAATTTAAAGTAGGCATTAGAGCTGTTCACCAATATTCCTGTTCTCTCTCCCAGACAGCAGGATGCACACATAATAGGATCATTTTTGCCTGCCCCCTTTTAAGTGACTCTGGCTAATGAAATGTGAGAAGAAGTGACGTGTGTTACCTCAGGGTTGAAGCTTAAACCCAGGATATAATTTGCCGAGCTAATCCTCCCCTGCCATGGTGATTAAGCAAGCTGGTGCTGAGACACACCCTCTGATGCGAAGACCTGTGATTAAGTATCACACATCTTGTGATGAATACAGCCCCTTGCTAATCCACCAGAGACAAGTAGCTTGAATAAGACAATGCTGTATAAAATCACCGAGACTTTGTGGTTGTTTGTTGTATATCTTTGACCAAATACACTATCATTCCATCCCCTGGGGATATCAAAGTGAATCAAACTGATGAAAAACCTGCGCTCTTGTGGTTTCTCAATACAATATCCAAACTACTCTATGCAAGCACACTATTAAGAAAAAGCCAAAATGACTGATAAGAGTTTACTACTTCTTTCTGCCTCCTACAGTGAGAGCTTAGACATGTTACAAATGAGTCAAAATTAAAACAGAAAGCTAAAGACGCATCCATAAAATGGTCTCATCTTACGTAACTCTTATCACTTCTCAAAATGCAAGATTAACAACACAGGGATCACATCATACAAGCACAAAACGAGTGTGATGGAGCTGAACCTGAGCATCAGGAGACCTGTGAGGATTTAGTGGCTCTGCCCAGTGCGATGAGTTGTCCTTCTTTATGGGGTCCCTCAGTAATTGGAAATAATGAAATATCGTCTCCCTTCCCAGGAGACAAACTGTATGGTAGACATGAGTGTCCACTCATTCATGTATTAATTCTTGCAAGTGACAATTATGGACCATCTCTGTGTGTCAGAGAATACAGTTCATAGTGACACAGGGACAAACAAGACAGACAGGTCCTGCTCTCATGCAGCCTACAGGTATTATGGGAGACAGATAATAGACCATCGCAAAGGTTAATCTCATAATGCTGGTAGTGATAAGTGCTTTCAAACAAACAGATACGGTCAGTGTGACAGGAGAATGGTACTTTGGATTAGGTGGTCCTGGCAGGCACCCCTGTGGAGGTGATGCTGACTTTGGAAACAGGATAGACAAGAAAGAATCAATCCTCTGAGGACCTGGGAAAAGTGTGCCAGGTAGGATGGACAGTACAAAGGCACTGCGGCATGGTAGAAGAGCATAAAGAGCCTATAGAAGTGGTAAGAGGTCAGAAAGAGATGGAGGGGGTCAATTCTCAGAGGCTTCTGTAAGCAATAAGGAATTGGCAAGCTCCTGGAGTCTCTGAAGCAGAAAAGTGACATAATTCAATTCATAATGTATGCTTAAGAATGCTCTTTGGAGAGGAATCAAGCTGGAGGCAATTTCAATAGTCTAGATAAGGGACTGGACAACTGGCACCAGAAAAAGGTTTAAGAAAGGTCATTGGAAGACAAGTGACAAGGTTTAGAACATGCGACCCCAAAATATGGCACCTTGGCACACTGAATATTTTAAGCTGAAGGGATCTGAGAAATAGGCAGATGCAGGAAAGTCTCTCTGATCTTCCCACTCGCATGGGAGAGGTGTCCTCCCTTTACCCCAAGGAAAGAAACAGCCTCTCTATGAGGCAGGGGTGCCTGGAGGAATCCAAACAACAGGCCTTGCTAAGCTTCCCCCAGTTTAACACCCTTGGCTCATACCTCTTTTTGACCTATCACATTTTTCTATGACTCTTCATTCCTCATCAAATTTAGGCTTACACTCGGCTGGTGTGGCTCAGTAGTTAAGCATTGACCTATGATCCAGGAGGTTATGATTTGATTCCCAGGCAGGGCACATGCCCAGGTGGCAGGCTTGGTCCCCAGTGTGGGATGTGCAGGAGGCAGCTGATCAAGGATTTTCTCTCTCATCATTGATGCTTCTATCTCTCTCTCCCTCTCTCTTCCTCTCTGGAATCCATAAAAATATATATTTTTTAAATGTACAGATTTAACTTTCTTCAGGTCTTCATTTCCTTATAAAGTCTCTCATGTCATATAATATTTATATTAAATACATTTGTATGGTTTTATCCTATTAATCTGTCTTTGCCAGTTTAGGGGCCTAGCCAGGAACCCTAGAGGGCTGAGGAAAACTTTTTCCTCCTTTACACAAGACAAAAGGATATACTAGTGTGGAAGTTCCTTTCGCAATTAAGACTAGAACTAATGTATGATCAGCAATTCCTCTTCTGGATATTTACCCAAAAAATATGAAAACACTTATTTGTAAAGATATATGTACCTCCATGTTCATTACAGCTTTATTTACAACTAGAGACCTGGTGCATGAAATTCGTGCGTGGGGATGGGGGGTGTCCCTCAGCCCACCCTGTACCCTCTCCTATCTGGGACCCCTCAAAGGATGTCCAACTGCCCACTGGGATCGGGCCTAAATAGGCAGTTGGACATTCCTCTCACAATCCAGGACTGGTGGCTCCCAACTGCTCGCCTGCCTGCCTTCCTGATTGCTCCTAACCACGTCTGCCTGCCAGCCTGATCACCCCCTAACTATTCCCCTGCCAGCCTGATTGACACCTAACTGCCCCCCTTCCGGCCAGATTGCCCCTAATAACTCTCCCCTACCAAACTGGTCACCCCTCACTTCCCTCCCCTGCTGGCCTGGTTGCCCCTAATAGTCCTCCCCTGTAGGCCTGATTGCCCACAACTGCCCTCCCCTGCTGGCCATCTTGTGTCCACATGGGGGTGGCCACCTTGTGTGTTGTGGTGATGGTAAATTTGCATATTAATCTATTGTATATTATATAGGATAGCCAAGACATGGAAAAAACCTAAGAGTCAGTGGATGAATGGGTAAAGAAAATGTGTTATATATACAATGGAATACTACTCAGCCATAAAAAAAGATTAAATACTGCCATTTGTAACAATAGGGATAGATCTTGAGGGTAATATGCTAAATGAAATGCTAGACAGACAAGGGCAAATATTCTACATATTCTCATACACAGAATATGAGATAAAAAAGTAACAAATGGCCGGGACTGGTTTAGCTCAATGGATAGAGCGTCGGCTTGGGGACTGAAGGGACCCGGGTTCGATTCCAGTCAAGGGCATGTACCTTGGTTGCGGGCATATCCCCAGTAGGGGGTGTGCAAGAGGCAACTGATCGATGACTCTCTCTCATTGATGTTTCTAACTCTCTATCTCTATCCCTTCCTCTCTGTACAAAATCAATAAAATATATTTAAAAAAAAAAAAAAAAGTAACAAATGAACTAACAAAATAAATAAAAACAAACTCCAATACAGACATCAGAATGGTGGTTACCAAAAGGAAAGGAAGGTGGGAGGAGAGTGAATTGGGTGAAGGAAGTCAAATATATGGTAAAAATAGGAAACCAGACATAGGGTTGTGAGCACACAATGGCATATACAGATAGAAAATTATAATACTGTATGCCTAAAATTTAAATAATGCTATTAACCAATGTTACCTCAATACATTTTTTAAAAAAGAGGATATACTGGTATGTTAGATGTGGGAGTAAGAGAAAGACAGAGTTAAAGATGATGGAAGATGTTACTTTCTAAAATAGGGAAAGCTGAGGGATGAACATGGTTTGGGGTAAAGATGGGAACTCTTTTTTAATGTGTTAAATTTGTCAAACCTACTGGGTAGATTTTCAAAAACAGTAAATGAGATCATGTGTTTTAAAACACCTAATATATTATAAATGCTCAAAAACAGTTATTTTCTTTCCAAATTTCCTAAATCTCCTAAAGCTAAGTGTCCTAATTTGGAAAGGGGATGATACTAGTAATAATATGAATCTTACATATGGGGAGCCTTGATTGACTTAATATATGTGAATAAAGGCTATTATAACTAACTTGTATGCAGTTCTTATCATACTTTTGTTAATTTACTCCTTCCAGCACCTCTGTAAGGTCCTGTTATCTCCATTTCACCAAAGAGGAAGTGAGGCACAAAATAGAGGTGAAAAAACTTGACCAGGTAAGTCTACACTGATAGAATGCAAAAGCTGAATAAATGTATTCTAAAATACCCAGATGTCTACTGCAGACAATAAATTCAGAAAGAGAAGAGACAGATTATGTTGAATATTGAACAAATATTTATTGAGCATTTCATCTGTGCCAGACGGTGGTCTAGGAACCAGAGACATAGCAATGAACAAAACAGACCAAATGCCTGCTAACCTGGACTCAGCCAAGAAAATGCAATTAGCCTAGAAAATGTGTAGGATCTTGCCCTAGTCAGTTTTGCTCAGTGGATAGAGCGTTGGCCCCAAAGTGTGAAGGGTTCACCCAGTTCAATTCCATTCAAGGGTGAGTACCTCAGTTGCAGGCTCAATCCCCAGCCCAGTCAGAGGATGTGTGGGAGACAACCAATCGATATGCCTCTCTCACATCAATGTTTCTCTCAGTGTGTCTCTCATCTTCCCTTCCACTCTCTCTAAAAATCAATGGGAGGGCAATGGAAACTAAAGAGAAAATAAACAAATGGGACTACATCAAAATAAAAAGCTTTTGAATAGCAAAAGAAACCATCAACAAAACAACAAGAAAGCCCACTGTATGGGAGAACATATTTGCAAATGTTATCACTGATAAAGGTTTAATCTCCAACATTTACAGGGAACTCATACAACTTAATAAAAGGAAGATAAATGATCCAATAAAAAATGGGCAACGGACCTAAATAGAAACTTTTTGAAAGAAGACAGAAGGAAGGCCAAGAGACATATGAAAACATGCTCAAAGTCACTAATAATCCAAGAGATGCAACTCAAAACGACAACGCAGTACCATCTCACATCTGTCAGAATGGCTATCATCAACAAATCAACAAACAACAAGTGCTGGCAAGGATGCGGAGAACCCTCGTGCACTGCTGGTGGGGATGCAAACTGGTGCAGCCACTGTGGAGAACAGTATGGAGTTTCCTCAAAAACCTAAAAATGGAACTCCCATTTGACCCAGTGATCCCAATTCTAGAAATATATCCCAAGAAATCAGAAACACCAATCAGAAAAGATATATGCACCCCTATGTTCATAGCAGCACAATTTACAATAGCTAAGATTTGGAAACAGCCTAAATGCCCATCAACAGATGAGTATATTAGAAAACTGTGGTACATCTACACGATGGAATACTAAGCTGCTATAAAAATTAAGAATTCTTACCATTGGCAGCAGCATGGATGGATCTGGACAGCATTATGTTAAGTGAAATAAGCCAGGCAATGAAATAAAAATGCCACATGATCTCATTCACTTATGGAAAATAGTGGGAAGGCTGAGGAGGAGGGAGGGAGGTAAGAGATCAACCAAAGGACTTGTATACATGCATATAAGCATAAACAATGGACACAAGACACTGGGGGGTAAGGGCATGTGTGGGAGTTGGGGGGGGGGGGGCGCCAGGGGGAGATATGCCCCCCCCCAACTCCCAATGTAATACCTTAATCAATTTTAAAAAATGGAAAGAATCAATGGGTAAATGTCCTCTGGTGAGGATTAAGCAAAAAGAGAAAATGTGTACAATCTGAATACAGAAAGGGGGAAAGCAGGGATCACAATTGGCAAATTACAGTGGTCCCTTCAGCATTGCCTGTAATCTGTCCAAGCTAAGAATGTGTTTTAGATTTTTAAAAGGAGGAGGAGGAGGAGGAAGAGAAGAAAAAGGAAGTGCAGGAGGCAGGTTGTGAATATGGGGATCTGAACTACCTTGAGGGAGGAGGACATAAAATATACACTGCAGGCAAACAAGACAGACTGTAAAAGGCGCATTTGTTACCTCTTCGAGAGGCCGCGGAGCCTGGGGTGGCTGAGAGTAGATGCTCCGTGAGGGGGCAGTGGTGAAAGGACAAGAAGAAAGAAAGGCAACACGTTGGAGGCAAGGGCTGCTGGAGTTGGTTCTTTTTTTTTTTTTTTTTTTTCTCTGTAGCTGTTAGGAAGGAACCCTTAGGAAACTCGCAGACTGTTCTAGATATTTGGTTCTCACACTTTCACAATGTGTCTAATCTTAGAAGCACTTAAAGAATAGCGTTTTAGCCAAAACCGGATTAGCTCAATGGATAGAGCGTCGGCTTGGGGACTGAAGGGACCCCCGGGTTCGAGGGTTCGATTCCGGTCAGGGGCACGTACCTTGGTTGCGGGCATATCCCCAGTAGGGGGTGTGCAAGAGGCAACTGATCGATGACTCTCTCTCATCGATGTTTCTAACTCTCTGTCTCTCTCTTTTCCTCTCTGTACAAAATCAATAAAATATATATTTTTTTAAAAAGAATAGCGTTTTGATGCATACAAGAGCAGAACTCTAGGGAATAATTTTAAAAGTAACTCTTAAGGAAAATGTAGGCCTTTTATATTGATAAAAGCTCTGCAACCTTAGAAACTTTTTTTTTCTCCTTTTTTAGGAGATGAAGCATAGCATAGGCCTCCTGAGATCTCCAAGTGCAATTTAAGCTGGTCTTTGATGCAAAGGAAATATCACTTATACCAAATCCAAGTTCGGGTCTTTTGTTAGTGTGGATAGGAGGACAACTACATGAGATATAAATCAGAAATCAGGAAAATTCTATACACTGTAGTATTAAGTAAGGGCCCAGTGTTCATGGGAGAATGACAGTCAATTACATCTATGGTTATTAATTGATACCAGGTAAAATAATTCTGTAACACCTGTTTGTACATACTATCCTATGGAGGTTAGTATAGCCACTGAACTATAATAATAACCCTAGAACTCTTTTATTAAAACTCAGAAAAATAGATTTTTGAGGAATTTGTGCTTAGCGTGATTACATTTATTTCTCACTGGTACAATATTTTTTTAAAATAATTACCCACTTTAAAACACTGTAATAGGGAAAACTACTGTATTACAATAATTTCCTGTTGCTTCTATAATACGTTACCACAATCTTGGTGGTATTAAACCACACAACTTTTTTCTCTTACAGTTCTGGAGTACAGAAGTCTGAAATGGGTCTCACTGGGCTAAAATCAAGGTGTCAGCAGGCCCACATTTCTTCCGCAGGCACAAAATTCCTAGCCTTTTCCTTGGACTGTGGCCCCTTTCCACCTTCAAAACTAGTAAGTCTTTCTCATGCTATATCACTCTGCCACTGACTCCTTTCTGCCTCACTTTTCCACTTTTAAGGACTTTGTGATTACCTTGAACCCACCCAGATAATCCAAAATAATCTCCCTATTTTAAAAAAAATGTTCTATTTTTTAATATTTTTATTGATTTCAGAGAGGAGGGATGAGAGAGAGAGAGAGAGAGAGAGAGAGAGAGAGAGAGAGAGAGAGAGAGAAACATCAATGATGAGAGATAATCATTGACCGGCTGCCTCCTGCATGCCCCCCACTGGGGATCAAGCCTGCAGCCTAGGCATGTGCCCCTGACTGGAATTGAACCTGGGACCTTTCAGTCCTCAGGCAGAAGTCCTATCCATTGAGCCAAACCAGCTAGGGCATAATCTCCCTATTTTAAAGTGAGCTAATTAGTAAACAACCTCAACTCCATCTGCAACCTTAGTCCCCTTTGCCATTAATGATGTAATGTAACATATCCACAGATTTCAGGGATATCTCTTGGGAGCCATTAACCAGCCTACCCCAATTTTAACCAACGTTAAACTCTGTTGTGCCAGACTGACATTTGATCAACCGTGCTCAAATCTTATATTTGTCCAGCTTCTTTACAGACATTCCACATTCTTCTCTAGGCTTGAAATTTTGTACCTAAAATATGACCAAATAAATTGGTAAGCCTTTTTGTAGGATTCTTCCTAACTTTTACTTTAAAAAACAAACAAACGAATTAATTTGCTCTGATAGTATCCCACAGAGGTCTTTTAAGTAGAAGAAAAAAAAAAAAAAGGATGTTTTCATTAATTTTGTTCTCTTCTTACAGACTATTCCAAGCAAGCTCTGATTCTCTTGGCAAAACAGCCCCATCAAGAGTCTCACCAGCCGCTTCCCTTGGGAACACAGACTCAGACAAGGGGGGGATGGGGGAGAGACAAGGCTAGACACTTGTCCCCAGTGGAAAAAGAACACACCTGGAAAGCAGCTCTGACAAAGGGAGCCAAGACGGGGAAAACCGTAATTGGAGAAGAGAGACTGCTTCCAATCTGCTGCTGGTTGACAAGGTAAGTCTACTCCTGGAGCAAAAGGGACACAGTAGCAGCACAATAAAAACTGGGGCAGGGTGCGGCTCTGCTAGATTGTATCTCCTGCGGGGGAGGGGGACCCGCTGTGATGGCAGTCCCACTGAGAACGTGTTTCCATTGTGACCTGAGCCCAGTGTGGCTCAAGGGTTCCGCCTGAGAGTGCCAAGCATCCTGTGCACACCTATCTCACTGATGCACTCATTCATTAAAGCTGAACACCTAGCATGCTCTAAATGCTGGAGATTTAAAAAAAAAAAAAAAAAAGTGAACAAGGCATAATAGCACTTAACACAATGCATTTATCTGCATTGGTGCTGGCTTTCTGTCTCTAGGAAGGAACCCTCCTTCATCTTTGCATCCTCACTGTGTAGCACAGCGCCTGGCACAAGCTGGGTGTATAATGAACGAAGGAGTCCCTTTACACTGCATTTTTTATACTAGGCCAGATTCTCAAATATGTAGCCCTATTGGGGGTGCGAGTGGGGTTTGACAGGTAACACATCTTTATTTTTTTTCCTTTATTTTTTTTATTATTGATTATGGTATCACATAATTATCCTCATACCCCCATTCCCATCCCAAACCCCTCCCTACATATGCCCCCACCCCCCTGGTGTCCAGGGCCACTGGCTAGGCCCCTTTGCATGTGTACACAAGTCCTTTGGTTGATTTCTTCCCCTTACCCCCACCCTCCCCTACTTTCCCTCTGAGGTTTGAGAGTCTGATGCTGCTTCTCTTTCTCTAGGTCTGTTTTTGTTCATCCATTAAGTTGTTCATTATTTCCCCTAGGTGTGTGAGATCATGTCATCCAAGAAATACCCTTGTAAGAACCTAAACCGAGACAAGCCATTGTTGTTATGCTGAGAGGCAAATCAATCAGTCTGAAGTGAATTTCTTTTTGTAACACATCTCTATACGGAATGTATGTAGCAATCCAGTGTCCCTGTGTGGCTGCTAGTACTGAAGTAAGTTAAACAGTTCGGGAGTCCAGGGAGGAAAGGGGAGGCAAGAAAGGAATTGCTTCCCGTGTGGAGGGGGCTGGAAGTGGGAGGGGGGGGGCAAGAAAGGGATTCTCAGGCACTCGACTGCCCTCCCGTGCTCCTCACCAGGTCAATGGCCACGACGTCCCGCAGCGCCACAACCTGTCGGATGGACTTGGGCGGGTTCTCGGTCAGGTAGATGAGCCGGTCGCTGAGGACCAAGTACTTGAAGGCGTGCTTCTCCGAATCGGACACCACGATGCACGGCTCATAGGCGCGGATGGCATCGTAGACCTCGGGCGCCAGGTGCCGGCGCAGGAACGCGTCCAGGCGGCTATTGGTCCGCGCGGGGAAGCCGGACCCCGCGGGGCTGGCCATGCGGGGCGCCCGCGGCCGGGCCGAGTGGCGGGGACAGCGGACGCCTCTGCCCGCCTGCCCGGCCCCGCCTCGGCGCCGCCCTCGGTGGAACCCGCGCGCGCCACAAAGCGGCCGGCCTCCCGGTTGCCACGTGCGCCGCGCCCCTCGCCCCTCGGGCCCAGGGAGCGGGGGTTGGGGAGGGGAGGGGGACTTAGGTGCTGGATTCCTGAGGCTGGTTCCCCGGAGCTCTCCGCCCGGCCCCCCATTCCCCTCCAATCCTCGTCTGAACCTCGGACTCCGGAACAACAGAGGGCGGGGTGAGAAGCAGGTCCTTCCACTTGGCGGCTTCGTGGACCCTCCGCCCAGCCTCCCCACACAACGGGCCACCCAGCTATTGTGGACCTTGCCAGTCCTTACAAATTGTACCGAAGCAGCAGTTTTTTGGTTTTTTGGTTTTTTTCTAAATGTATTTTATTGATTTTTTTATTTACAGAGAGGAAGAGAGAGGGATAGAGATTCAGAAACATCGATGAGAGAGAAACACCAATCAGCTGCCTCCTGCACACCCCCCACCGGGGTTGTGCCTGCAACCAAGGTACATGCCCTTGACCGGAATTGAACGCGAGACCCTCCAGTCCGCAGGCCAAGGCTCTATCCACTGAGCCAAACTGGTCTCAGCTGAAGCAGCAGTTTTAATCTGGTTTTCTGTTAAAAATTTGGACAAGATAGAACTTACCAATTTATTTTTTATATATATAAGCAAAAACAATCCTAGATCCCTATTAAGGCCCATCAGAAAGATTTAGCATTTGATTATAACATTGCTAGCAATAGCTCTCTAATCTTAATGGGTATAAACGTAGGTCTTCTCTCTCCAGGTGGCTAAAAGCTCTCAGAGAGAAAAGAATCCTATCATGATTGGGAGTAGTGAAGGCTTCCTAATGGATATACTTGTGGTCTTGATGCCCAGGACAAGGCCTTGGGGACAGTCAGACCTCAATCTATATAGGATGAATGAGTGGGGCCTACATCTTGAAAAAATTGAAAAAATAGGTTTAGGAATGCTGATTGCTCAGCCTTGAGGCTGCAGGGTAGTAAAAGTACTGCTTAGATTTAACAGAAGAGGAATACATTATAAATTAGGTTAGAGAGATGAGAAGTAGAAACTTGCTCCCCATAATCCTACCATTTCTCCAACTACCCGCAGCCCAGAATCAAATTATATCTTCTTTATTGCAAACTATATTCTCCTTTCCCTCCTATACTGTATGTTGTAAGCAATTTCAAATTCTTTACGGAAAGAGAGCATATATACATTACAACGTATACTCAGATATTGTACACTAAATCCCTATTAAAGGGAACAAGAAGAAATACTTGGTGGTGGCAGAGCAAGTCTGAGGAACTCAATTGCAGCAAAGAAATAGGAACACGATTCCTTTTATTGGAGAGACTGTATTTGGTGAGTAAAGAGAGCAGTGCCACCTGCTGACAAAATCGTGAAGAACCCAGCAATTAAAGTTTTCTCAGAATCTGATCCTACATCTGACTCTTCAGAACATAATAGCTGGATGAAAAGTGAGCTCCCAGGACATGGCTCCTCCCTCTAAAATCAGGACTATTCCCTATCTGAACCACGCTAGGCAGGGTTAGTAACCTCAGACCAACAAAAGGCAAAGGCCACCGAAGCTGGTTTGGCTCAGTGGTAGAGCATTGGTCTACAGACTGAAGGGTCCCAGGTTCGATTCCGGTCAAGGGCATGTACATTGGTTGCGGGCACATCCCCGGTAGGGGGTGTGCAAGAGGCAGCTGGCCGATGTTTCTTTCTCATCAACGTTTCTAGCTATCTCTCTCCCTTCCTCTCTGTAAAAAAAAAAAAATCAATAAAATATATTTAAAAAAAAAAAAAAAAAGGCAAAGGCCCTTCACCTGTGCCAAAGAGCCACGCCTCACAAGAGTTGTTGACAGGGAAATGGCTGACAGAGGTGGAATGTGAGCCCCATGTTTGGGAAAGGGCCTCACTCCAAGCTGTTATTGGGTGTCTCTCAGGCTTCCTACTCCAAACCCAGGACCAAGAGAAACAGAATGTCTGGACATTCCAGAAAAGACAGCATACCTGATCTATCTGCCAACAAGCCCATCCAGAATGAGCTTTTGGTGACAAGGGTACCAGGTTAACAAAAGTTAATATGAAGCACCAGAAGAAGGGAATCTAACAAAGGGGTTGATGGCTAATGACCTAAGTTAAAACTTCTAACTTGGTGGCACAGAAAAGGCAGTGCCATGGTTCCTAGGCACTCACTGTTCTGCACTGTTGCCAAAGTAACAGCAAAGTCCAGATTCTAGGAAGGGGGTTTAATATAAGAGAAAGATCCCTGGATTTGGAGTCAGAAGAATTGGATTAGAGTACTAACCCTTTGGAAAGGTATTTATAATGTTGAGCCTCAGTTTTATCATCCTTAAAATGAAACTACTAATATTTGCCCTGCCAACCAAAGAGTTGGTGTGAGGAGCAAAGGCAACGAATGTGAATTCTAAAAGCTCTATAGACATGTAAAGAATCCCTTATTTTTTTGTAAACTTCATGTGAATAGTTAACATAAATACACCTGAGGTGGACACTTCTTATCTTCTAAGTGTCCAAACTCAAGAAGCATTTGGTACATATCTCATATAATAAAAGGCTAATATGCAAATTGACCAGTGGAACAACGAGTTGTTTTGATGCACACTGACCACTAGGGGGGCAGAAGCTCAATGCAGGAACTGCCCCCTCGTTGTCAGTGCACTCCCGCAGGGGGAGGGCTGCTCAGCCAGAAGCCCTGAGTTGGGCTCATGGCTGGCAAGCTCAGCAGTGGTGGCAGGAGTCTCTCCCCCCTCTGTAGCAGAGCTAAGGATGTCTGGCTTAAGCACACTCCTCTAAGGACATCCCCTGAGGGCTCCCAGAGTTAGAGAGGGCACAGATCAGGCTGAGGGACCCCAGCCATATGCACGTTGGGGGCAACCAGGCCAGCAGGGGAGGGCCATGAAGAGGCAACCAGGCAGGCAGGCAGAGGAGGGTAAGGTTGCTCAGGCAGGCAGGGGAGCAGTTAGGGACATTTCTGACAGGGGCTTCTCACGTACTCTCATTTACACAAATTGAATCAACAGTAATGAGGAAGTTCCTGGCCTGTTTTTCGACCAATGGACTAAGACCCATTCCCTCAATAAGAACTGCTCTGTAATGACTAGGCAGGAGACATATTACTGATTAATTAGGACTTCGAAACTTGGGCCAATCAGAAGTGTGCAAATTTGGGTATCTCATTACATAATAAGGACCTAATTGGGAACCTGGCTTGGAACTTTCTCTATGAAAAGCGACCTCCCTCTTGTTGATGCATTTCTGGTCAAAGGCATATGTGGGGTTGTGACGTGATCCCCAGTAAGGAGCCTATGGATGTTGCATTCTCACATCAATATGTCTCTCTTCCTCTCACTTCCTCTCTCTAAAAATCAATAAATTACTCTCTCTTTAAAAAAAAAAAAAATCCCCTTTCTCTCAGCAGAACACAATTTAGGTTACTCCTTGAATCAGTGTCTCCAGGCTGCAGCTCCTTTTGCTCAAATGCTTTTTATTCTTCATTACAGTCTAAAATTAATTTTGGTTTACATCTAGAATTAGGAGTAGAGTTCTAGCCTACCATGTAGTAGCTGTGTGAC